GCTTTCCTTCCGCCCAACAAATGGATTGCGGCTATCCTCGTACCTTTTTTTATCTTCACTAGAGGATATGTTTGAAAACAAAAGGTAAGAAATTTCACATTATCAGAGGTATTGCATACAAGAATCTCTTTCATCAATTTTTTTGAACAACGCTCGGTGTCATTGTCCGCTTGCAAGCGCTTTCGTGCAGAATCTTTTGCATTTTGATTGGTTGATACATCCCACAACACATCACATCCTATTATCATACACTTGTCTTCATCCGTCAACACGGCTTATTGCAACTCTAGTTCTTTGGTTAGAGAACTGTCAAAGAAACAACGTTCAAATACTTCATTACAAAACTTCATCTCTTTCATGTGCAATTCTCCAAAAGTTCTAGCAACAGCCAACCCATCATTCAAATAGCTTTTGCAAACATATCCTTCAATTGACATAATTTGACTCTTTTTTATTGCACAACATTATTTGTGATCCCTACACATTTGCACAACCACACCACGTTTTAACTGAATGGCACAACAATTTTCAACATTTGCTACGAGCAGATTACTTCCGAAAATAATATCTATGAGCGCAAGTAAAACTCTTGATGACAAATGAATTTGTTGTTTAGAACAAAGTCTCTCTTGTAGCGTCGTTTGCATCTAAACTAAGAGAATTTGGATATAATTTATACATCAAGAAATGATGAGTAGAGTTTCTTGGACATTATTTGCCGACTCTTTTTCTCTATGGCCATTAAAAATTCCATAAAAATCCAAAAACATTCACTTGAACCTGAGGGAGATCTCACTTGTTTGGGAAGAATCATCATGTCAAATGACCAAATTGTCTATTCGCAAATGTGTGTCTTCCATGGCTGGCCAATTTACTTGATCCATCCATCTTCTTGATTGTAGAATGGGTGTGTATTCAACTATAACTCTACCAATACACTCACAATCATGTCGTTTTGCTTCAATCTATTACGATTGTGTCCAATCAGATGCAGACAAAAATAATGTGAGACAAGCTGTGCTGAAGTTTCTTCATACGAATGACATTGTTTGTGAAGCAGCATTTGGATTTGGCCTTTGAGTATTGTTTGATGCTTGAAGAGTTTTTTTATCTAATTATTTCTCTTCACAATCAAGGGATCATTATTATCCACTGCAACATAGTTTTCCTTGATTATACATACAGGAAAAGGTTTTGGAGTAATTTATTATTAAGCTACTTCTAAAGCGTTCACTATATGTGAAATATTTGTATTTGCTGCCATTGTTGTCTCAAATAAGCATGAACGTCTTTAGCATTATCTTGGGTATCAGACTACAATCTCCGGGCTGACTCTCACTCAGGTTACCTCAAATGGCTTTTCGGTAGCTCATCATGGATCTAGAAGATTAGGATTCGTCCTCATACTCATAGCCTAAACATCCTCTCACACAATCTCTCAAGGTATCACTCCAACTCACTCACACATTGACACTCCAAGGTACTAAAAATTTGTCACTCTTTCATATATGAAACAAGTCTCTACATATGAACTCTCCAAACTTGCTTGTGAGTCTCTTCCCTACCTCTATATATATACTACTTGAGAATTTACCATAGTAAAAAATGGTAATTCTTATCTAATTAACTTTTATAAAGATAAATCATAGTAAAGTTGACTAGTTATCAATATGTGGCAACATGTCATTGGCCTCCTAAACCTTCTAGATGTTTACTAATCTCTAGATTGAGGTGGCGACATGCTATTTGTGCATTTCCAACTTCTAAAAGTTCCACTTTCCACTAAGTCAACATAAGACTTAGTCTAACCAATGGAGAACTCCTTACTTAGTCAAATCAATCAAAACTAAACATGAAGTCAAAAAATCTTTTCTCTTGGAATCTAGACTTTTGTACAATACAAAATAGAAGTGCTCACTCAAATCTTCTAGAACTTCTCTAGTTATTCCGCCAAGTATAAACATTATAGCTAAACTAGCTAGACTTAATCATAACTAGCTAGATTTAGTCATAATTATCCTAACCATGATTAACTCCTTGGCTATTCTAGTTTTATTTCACACATACAATATTTGGTCTTACAAGACAAATCCACCGGTCCTTGGGCTCAATGTTTTCTGTGTTTTGCTGCAGATTTCAAAACTTTAAAACAATTCATTACTCACTCCATCACTCTTAGAATACACCTGATTGATCAAGCTCTTGAAACTTCTCCTCATTCAACTAATTTTTTACCTTCCTTGTGTATTTCTCTTGTATATTTTTTTCCCTACTCTACACATGCTTTGATTGTTGACATCTGCACTACCCAAGTTCGTGCAAAGCTTGTCTAACTTTTTATTACCAAAAAAAGAAACAACTAATCCTCTTTCAACTCCGTATTCCTTTCTTTGCCGTTTGACTTTTGCTGGTCTTGCCACTTCTCTCGCCGACGGGTGATGAACAAGTCTTGTACTCTCAAAACTTCTTCCTTTTTGTGTTGACGATGATGCACGACCTCTTCATTGATGTAATCTCTTAGAATTAAGACATTGTCATTGGATTCAACCGCCACCTACTTTGTACTTGCCGGATGAACAAGCGTTTACGCCCTCCTCTAGTCCTACCTCAACCTTCCTTGTTTTAAGTATTTAACTAACGAACTACAACGTATTTAACTCGATACTTCTACACTACAAGCATTTAACAATCCACAACTAACTACTAATTTAAATATTGTAATCTTTTAGCATTAAGTAATTCGTCATCAAGCCTCTAAATTAATTCAAATACATGCTAAAAAATATAGCTCTTTTTATCTTTTTGAATATTAAATGTAGGAATTAAATCTAAGCTTTAATGCTTTTTCAAATAAAAAACACAAATGTGCACAAATTTGGTCTCAAAGTGCATGTTCACTCGTTTGTCATATATCATACTCATACATTAGATAATTCAGTTGAACACGGCAAAAATGCACTTTGAAATATGGAATGAAATCTTGATAAAGAGTCTTAAATTTGCTAGTAGTATTTGATGAAAAAAAATGATGCACAATATTTTATATCAACTTTATTTGATATCAAAAATTGTGATACGGATTATACTGATAGATCCAAGATTTTGAACTCATTGACATAAGATGAACAATTGTCTTGAAGTATATTTTAAGATGAGGTTGCATTTCTTGGCAATTTTGTTATATTTGTGCAGTATGCGCATATAAGATAATGTTTCCTGCCAAATTTGAGCTTGATGATTATAGATAATTCCAAAATCCCTACTAATATCTAGAATTATCTTTAAAGCACATGAACGACCATTCTTTGCAATAACATTATCATTAAATACTAATTTTGATCGTGACTGTTTTATTTTTTGTTCAATACCACGACCATACAAATTGACTGTGCAGTATGATCTTCATGATGTTGTGCAATGGTGTAAAGTTGACTCATCAATGTTGATAAAGCATTCAAGTGTTACATCAATCAGCGTTTTTGTGAATTTCATGCAAATATTTCTTGAACTGCATGAGATTAAGGTTGTTATGTTTTCCGCACTTCTTCTTATTAGATATTGATATGCGCTTCACACATTTCTTGAGCCCTCCTTGAGCCATCCATTCAAGGCAACATATGTCTGAAGAGAAACGTTATCCAATGATTTCAAACATTTTTCAAAATCATGCAAAACTTTTTGAATAAACAGAGCCTTCATCTTGAACACCTCGCTAGTTAGTTTCAGCTTGACCACAGTGATCTCAAAGCGCATATGTCATTGATGCGCCATGTCTATAAGAAGTTGCACTCAAGTTGATATACAAATCTTTTATAATACCCTCTTGATTTGATTCCAATGTCACTTGCTTGATAACTTTTTTCTCCTTCCAGATCTTTGAAACAATTGAAAATGCAACCAAGAATGCTGATGATGCTTGCTCAAAAATGGTTACATGTTGACTAAGAATATTGAGTGCAGTCAACTTCGTCTTGACTTCCAAACGTTTAGACATGTGTGCAGATGTCTATATTCGAGCATATCAGTACCCACAAAGTTGCTCGTTGTGAACAATATACAATACCACTTGAAATCAAACAGCGCGCCAAACAACTCACTTAATGAATGTTTGAGACAGGTAGTCCAAAAGTCCAATAATAATGCTGCGCAACCCCTTGTGAGTGACACCTTCCGACAATGGCATGAAATCCTTGCAACTGTATGTGTTACTATTGGGAGGTTAAACTTTGCCTTCATCATATATAAGGGAGATAAAAGGTTATGTTTAGAATATTTGATACAAATACTTTGGATATTTTTGTCAATTTTCATTGTGATACTATGGGGACTATTCTTTGGTTTCATCTTAGTTTTCTAATTGTTATGATTTGATGGGGATACCATATCTACTTTCATGTTTACTTGGCCGCTTTATCCCAAGTAAACAATTGATTGAAACCTTCACTCCGGTAAACCATTTCTATCAATATAAGTGGGAGAGCAATCAGGAATTAGATTGCGAACGAGGTAAGAAATCTGTAAGACATATTGTACATTGATTGAACCCTTAACTCCGTAAAACCCTTTCTATCAATATAAGTGGGAGAGCAATCAGGAATTAGATTGCGTACGAGGTAAGAAATCTGTAAGACATATTGTACATTGATTGAACCCTTAATTCCGTAAAACCATTTCTATCAGTATAAGTGGGAGAGCAATCAGGAATTAGAATTAGATTGCGTACGAGGTAAGAAATCTGTAAGACATATTGTACATTGATTGAACCCTTAACTCCGTTAAACCATTTCTATCGATATAAGTAGGAGAGCAATCAGGAATTAGATTGCTTACGACGTAAGAAATCTTTAAGACATATTGTACATTGGATCTAGTCAAAATAGTACGTCTTGATAAGGTATTCCCATATTTTTTTGTAAGTACTTGGCCCTCGCTTTCCTGCCAATAAACTAAATTTTGCTAACTCGTGGTGAGAGAACAGGCGACGATGCTCTCGTTCATTGGTCAATGGGGCGTCTGGTCTCGGTCTCCATCGTGGAGAACGATAAAAGACTAGTGCTCAATACAAACTGCATGCTTCCTCCTTTTTCTCGTCATTGATTGATCGTAGACATAAGGCCGGCAGTGATGACAGCGATGGAAGATGTGTTTCCTCCGGAGCAGCAGCTAGTATGCGAGTGGTACACACCTTCCCTGAACAAGACACTGGCCTTCCTGCGCGCATTCGGATTCGAAGTTCTCAGGGAGGAGGCGAACCATTTCGCCGAGTTGGGATGGAAATCCAAAAGCCGGCTCATGGTAGAGCAGGTGGACGCATTTCTAGCTAACCAGAACGAGTTTGGCTACAGAGGTTACTGCGGGAACATCAGAGTCCTGGTGCCGGACGTGGATGCTGTGTACAAAATCGCCATGCAGACGGAAGGCGCTGTCATTCTGAAGGAATTGGGCGATCGCTACTACGGGTTTCGAGATTTCACAGTGGGCGGACCTTTCGGACTCGCACTTCGCTTCTCCTCACCCCTGTCTGCCTAGCAGCAGCCCTTGATCCGTCGTTCCTTGTGTCCTGCTGCCTCTGTCGCTCAAAGTTTCGTGCTTGAATTTTGGCTACACGGTTTAGGCCTGGATGGCCTTCTCATATACTTTTTTCATGCCTGTTGGTGGTTTCGATCAGAAACTCTGACTTGCGTCCGGATGTCTTCTGCATCCATATGATATCAATTTGTGAGTAGTGTTTGTTTTGAAACTGCTATGTAACCGTTTTCAAGCGACAAATGATAACTGCGAGATATAAAGAATATATTTTGTCAAACCACGAGCCATTACAGTGTAAAAGACCTCCTTTAAGGAAACTCAAAGCCAAGGATGTGGGGTCGGGGCCAGGTCGCTGCCTATTGTTGATTGGAAAGAGATGAACTTCTCTTGGAGTTATGCATGGAGAAGATCTAATATGATATAAGATGCCAGTAGCAAAAGTCAAATAGCACAAGGAGGAGAATAACCTTTCACTACGTGAGAAGAAAACTGTCAGAAGAGTGGAGCACAACCAATTGAAGAACAAAACGCAAATGCCCGTACATTATTGTGATTATGTTCTATGACAACTGTAGCTAACATCAAAGTTTATCTTCTTTTAGCTCTGAGGGTACATCCCTATGACCATTATGTCTACAAACGTAACTTATGGTACACATTAATTCCTTTTTCCCCTTTATATTCACCACGTTCTTAGTACACATTGATGCGTACTGATAGTACATAATTTATGAAACTATGCAATAACAAGAATACACGCTCTCTACTTGACGGTAACTATTGTTTGCCTGCATGATTGGCGATGTGGTAAAAATTTATCTTTTATCATTACGTTTTTATCTTTTTTATCTTTGACCAGAGTAATTTCTTTTGCCGATAAAATTTAATGTTAACGATCTCGTATGAGAGTAAGTGTTTTACTTTCTTCAAGGTCAATTGATAAGTTGCATACTCTCTGCTATATAACAAGTTAAAATTTTGATGAATGTACATGTTCCATACATATGTATGAGACTACAAGAAATAGCAAAAAATAAAGAATAGCATGTGTAATTTGAAGAATAGCATGTGTAATTTGTCTCTGTGATTGACAAGATGCCAAATTTTGTTCAGCAGATCAGTTGTTACAGTGTTTAGTTTGTCTGGTGTTTATTCAATTTCGACAAATAATCTTGAAAAAGCCTGCTCTTATCTACCTTTTTCAATCAAGACATTCTTCTCCAGTGCACTTTCAGTACATTCACCGAAATATTCGCTCGACCTTCCACACCTTTCGAAAAAATCGAGAGATAGTTTTCCAAGCGATGTAAAAAGCGCACGATATCCCACGCACAACAAATATTCACTTCACGCTGAATATATGAGAAATTTGAGGCTGTTCGGCCTTTTCTTCATTTGAAGGGCTGAAATTCGCTTTTACAGGTAATACACAAAGAATGTTCTGATTGGCTGATCTGCACAAACATAAACTAGTGCACAAGAGCTAATGGTTAACAAACTATATCCCACGCACAATAGATATTCACTTCACGCTGAATATATGAAAAATTTGAGGCTGTTCGGCCTTTTCTTCATTTGAAGGGCTGAAATTCGCTTTTACAGGTAATACACAAAGAATGTTCTCATTGGCTGATCTGTACAAACATAAACTAGTGCACAAGAGCTAATGGTTAACAAACTATATCCCACGCACAACAGATATTCACTTCACGCTGAATATATGAGAAATTTGAGGCTGTTCGGCCTTTTCTTCATTTGAAGGGCTGAAATTCGCTTTTACAGGTAATACACAAAGAATGTTCTGATTGGCTGATCTGTACAAACATAAACTAGTGCACAAGAGCTAATGGTTAACAAACTATGTGCACAGGGGTATGGTAAAAGATACCCCGGCAGATAATATTTGTCTTTTCTATTTCTTCCCCTCATCTACGTCCTTTCCTGTCAACTGGCCCGAGCTCCGAATCTCCACCTTGTCGACAAATTGACACTTCATTTTTCACAACTATCGACCCCATGTACTGCGACTTTGATCAATTTATCAAAAGCATTTACAACACCGGAAACCGAAATCTATATAGGCTTTTCGCCTTTGAAGATAAACTTTAGCACCTAGAGCACTACCTTGTTCACGTATGAGCTCGAGGCGAGAGCAATACTGGTTACATACACGTGCACTTGTTGGCCTCTATTCTCTACCCAACGGAGTAGGTGCTTTACCTACTGATGACAGAAGATACAGTAGGTATTCTACTGCGAGGCGTGGTAGGAGGTGGCCTCGTCCGATCCCTTGCGACCAATACGTTCTCGGAATGCATTCCAGTTAAACTTGGCTGGGGTCCGCTTCAGCATCGGGCTTCCAAACACATCATTTTTGTGCTGCAACAATATCCAGAATCAGTGAGTCGGCAACACAACATAAGATACCGTTACGAGCATGAACAATCTCCTGCCCATACATTCAAATTCTGCTCCATACTACTGGCGAAGGAAAACACCAATAATGCAGTGGGTTGCAACTTCAAACTACTGAAGAGATAACTCCAGAGTGCCAAAAAAGAAGTAACCGGGCGTACAAAGAGAAAGGATTAGTACCTGCAGGCAGAGCCCCATCTTAGTGTTGCACACGGGCCTGTCAGATGGGCAGCAATGCTGATGGTCGTTGCAGCAAGTGGCAGATTCCAAGGGACAACATCCCCATGAGAAGCATCGCTTACCCAAGTTGAACACGCAGCAGCAAGTATTGCTCTCGGGGCAAGAGTAGAAATTGTCACACTGAATCTCAGGCTGCACAGGCGATGGTGGTGGGGGTGGGGTGGCTGGTGGGTTCGGTCCCTTCTTGATCGCATACGAGGGTTCCATAGCAATTCCACACTTCCCAGTGACTGCAGCGATGCCCCGTTCCATACGGATGTAGCCAGCCTCACCCCAAGATGAAGCCCACGAGTTCTTTATAATCCAGTAATCCTTTCCATTCTCAGTTCCGTAACCGACAGCAAGCACTCCGTGATCGAGGTCAGTACCACAGAGACCGGTGAAGACACCCTGTTTGAGAACACTAGACGTTAGCGTTTCATATTCATCAGCTCCTCAGGATGATTCACAGTTACATCAAGGGAAACAGGAGGGGACATCACATCCGAAGATCCGAAGGGCAAAAACTTACAGTTGAATAGAACTGGAACTCCCGACCTCCTGCTTCAATTGCAACTGATACGGGCTGGTTGGCAACAGCTTTCTTCAAGTCGTCCTCACTATTTTCAGGTACATCTTCGTAGTCGTCAATAGTCACGACATGGGAGTTGAGCTGCAAAACAAACCAAACCGCGCTCCGTGTCAATACCAAGTGCACTGTAGAAGGAGAATAGAGAGCCGACTCACATACCATACTTCCAGACGCCCCTAGTCAGAAACTGGAACAAAATCAGATGTTGCATTCAGTGCAGAACAGAGATCTCATACCTTGTCCTTGCTGCACTTCCCATCAACTCCCTTGTACGGATAATCATCTTCAGAGTCGATACCACCATTGCCAATAATAAATTCAAAAGCATAATCCATCAAACCCCCATTACAACCCTGATTGTACTTGGTATCACAGTCAACCAATTCCTGCTCGGAGAGTGAGACCAGCCCTCCAGTGACAATCTGGTTGATACCTTCGACAGATCCGATTGTCGAAAAGGCCCAACAGCTCCCTGCGGTCGTTAACAGGACAGAGTACGAATTAGATCCTCCGACAAACTGTGACCTACGACCTCATAATACTGAAGTATATAGATGGCAGTAATTTTGGGCACATGCTTGAATCAACAGCCTTCGGTTTCGAAAGGGAAAGTGCCCCAAGGCATGGTCTTGCTTCAGCTCAGTTCCTTCCGTGTACACAATATCCAAGACCTCGGCTACATAACGAGAAGCTCATGAGAGCGAAAAGTAAGTAATATGGCAATGAATCTACACTTCGTTCCCACATGCTTCATCCCCGTAGTGTGTCACTATACGATGCAGAGTAGCGACACAATGTTATTTCTAGGTCATAATTGAGCTCAGGAACGGCGAGGTGACGAGCACACCAGGCCAACTACCAATTTACAAGTAACTCCTTCAGCAAAGCACTAAATTGCGCTACAGAACGTACTCGAAACTGAGGAAAAGTGTGAGACACGTGCTCGAGATAAACACACGATCAACCCTTACAATTCACGCTTGCAAACGACATCAACATATACTGCGGATCGTTGCTGGAGATTTGGCAATTCGGACCATGACAACAGCGGAAGTGAAACTCACCACAAGAACCCTGGTCCTTGACTCCCGTGACTGCTCCCTTTTGACGCCAATCGATGGAATCAGGCAAACCGGTTACGTGAGCGTACTTGAAAGTCGATTTCGGGGCTCTCTTCCTGTCAAACTTCGAACCGACATATCTGCCCTTGAATTCGTCGTGAGTCATGTCAGCAAACTTGTTCACTCCAAGCAAGTATCCACCCTCCTTCATAGCATTCCAGTTATGGGAGTGAATAAAGTTCAAGTTCTCCTTGAAAATTTGAAATCTCATCTCCTTCTCTCCAAAACTGCCTCTGACAAAGCCGTGAGACGCAGACCACGTATCGAACAGATTTCTCATGCTCTCCTCCGATTCGAGATCGGATGGACTGTAGCCCAAACCCGAGTACTCATCAGCAGCAGCAGCACACACACCCGCCAACCCGAGCGCGAGCAGCGCCAACAAGAAATTCCCCGCCATGCCTGCAAATTACACAAACTCTTCAACTTCTATCGATTTCCCTCGATTCACGAATTGAAATTCTTCCGCACACCCACGACCACCTCCGTCTCCACCGTCGTCACCTGTACTGCATTCTTCGACTTCCTCCTCCTCCTCCTCCCAGAACTCCTCACAAAATTACCTCCGTCTGAGAAACTGAAGAAGCTCTGCCAATTTCATCAACAATCGTACGAGTACTTCATACCACACTTAGAACGAATATTTCCAGCCCCTGGCCTCTGGCCGCTACATACACGGAGAGATACACACCCCCGTTACAATAGTAGTGGATCGAAGGGAAATCGAGAAGGCAAAGCCCTGAGGAGGAATGCGACGGAGGTCCCACTTTATCGTGTTCGCCATCGCCAGCGCTCCGAGCCCCGCCTGGGTGCCCACACAGCACGGGCCCGGGCAGCAGGGCAGGGCAGGGCAGGGCGGGGCAGGGTAAACCCCCCGCCTCGTGACTGCTGGTGAAAGGTTCATTTCTCCGCAGGGCCGCCGGCGAGAAGCAACCGTGCGTCGGTCCGACCGAGCGAGCCAACGCTTTCCGTTCGGTCCTGCGCGGGGGTTACGCGCGGGCGGGCGTTCGGGCGAGCGGGCGGTGCGGTGCGTGCGATCGGCGACGGACGGTGGAGATTCGCGGCTTCACGACAGCAGTCCCACGTTCTCACCGGGACATACGTCGTTCGCTGCCACCGGCGTTCGGTTCCGTTCCAGTCCGGTCGGACTTCTCCTCCGACCGCTGACGCTTTGTCTGTTCGGTGGTGCGGGCCCGGACGGCTTAACCTTGGGTCTTGACCCCGGGTTAAGCCCGAGCTTTGGATGCCAGACGTACGTGGAGATCCTCTGCCTCGCGTTCCGTACGGCGGCCCACTTTCTTCGCGGAGCAAGGCTGTGAGGTTACTGGCTGGCTGGTTGGGATCTTGGGTTGCCGTGGGTTAAAGGCGGGGTCAAAATCCCGAATTTGGATATCGCATCTGTCCAATGGTACAGAGACTCCAGGAAAGGACACAAGACAATGACTAAAAGGACTATAAGACCCCGTCAGCTGGTGTAACGAATGAACCAAATTTGGTAATATGGGCTAGCCCCACTGTTACATAATATAATATCTAGATCGAACAAAATCCATACACTGTACTCTAGGTACTATAGAGAAAGAACATTATTTAAGTTAAAATCGATTATAAGTGTATTGACATGACATTATTTATCACAAAGTTGTTTACATTCACATTAAAAAATTTATCCAACTCGTTTTCTACATAAAACATAACATCAAGGCAGCCTAGAACTAGTCGGGACAAACTTGCTGCTCTTGCAGGTCATGGCGAGCTGGACGTAGACCTCTTGGAGCTGTGGAGTATGTGGGGCTGAACTGCGCTATGAGGTCCTGCGTGACTTGAAGGTAACGTGGGTCGAGCTTTCTCAGTTGATGAGATAGACATGGCATGCGGTAGGACCAGGACGTGAATTTTTTGCAGAATATGTAATTTGGAGTGCATGCAGGGCGAGACTCGTAAAATGTGATGTGAACTCCAGTATGCATGGGGCCCATGAGTCCGGCATTAAGATGGCTCACATGGCCGAAAAGTGGGTTGCGGGGAATCCATTCCTGACAACAAAACGAGATCGAGTTTCAGGTGACCACAATACGTATTTATGACTGGCAGGCCATCACAATAATCATCCATATTCCCGTATCCAAGTGAATATTGTTCAGTCACACATGTTAAGAATGTGCGGGCCAATTGAAGTAACATGAGTGGAATAAGTTAGAAAAAACAACATGGTACAAATGTTCATGGTGATTATTACATGAAAAGAGGTACAGTATTCCCTGTGATCACCTAATTACGTGATCACAGGGAATAAGAATCATCTCTCTGAACCGAAGTTTCTGTCGATGCTAAAGTGATCATTCAACACTCAACCCCGCTGATGATCGAAACAATTGCTTTCCAGTGGAATGATGAAACATCATTGTAGCATATGCGAGATCAAGCGTAGTGCAAGGAGTTTCTTCTATTTCCCGCTGGAGAAAGGTGCGTTTTCTTTTCACGTCTGTCCAAGCACAAAGCACTGGAGTGAAGTGAGTTGTTGCCCTACAGTTCTCTCCTTGATCTCTTAATTTATTGCCCGCACTCTTGCATCTCCATTTACTCTTCCGTCTCGCATCCGCACACTTCTGGGGTCTCGTGCCATTTTGGTTATCTGCAGCAGAAGTCAAGTGAATACATTGAAAAGCAGCATTTCTTGTATGAAGCAGTAAGCGCATTCGCAAAGCACTATTTCGCTGTTGCCTTAAATCTCATGTTGCCAAATGACTGAGGGGAAAAAGTAAGTAAAAACCTCAAAGAAGGAGGAAAGGACAAAGAAGAAACAAACGAACGAAACTAAGACTGTGTAGTGATGGTATCGTGATTAGAACTATGTTTTACATTACGTACAGTATCTTTACTATGAAAATTAAATTCTCTATCAACAAGCACATCCTAGAAAACATCATATAATTAATGGCATCGCGAATAGGTAAGATCTGTATCCCAAATGAGCAATGAGTCATCTGAATTTTGCTCCATCACACTCGCACCTGAGCAATGATCTGGCTGCATGGACCAAATCCAAGCTGTTTTGAAATAATTTGCTGCTGAAGTGAAAAATCTTGCTGCATCGTTGAACTAAGATCCAATAGTTCACAATATTATCACAATAAAAGCACAATATAAACCTTCTACAATGAAGAAAAACCAATTACTTGAACAGTGAATAAAATGAAATTTCAAACCTATGATTCAATGTGTGGGCACAAGGAAACTGATGAAATATTTTGCCCTACTTCATGGACCCAAAAAAATTTGTATTAATCATGATAATCTGATGATACAATCATGTATCCAAATTTACTACTTAGATCTATCTGCAATCTCAAGAACATACAAGATAACCATGTGTATAAGAAGCCACAAATGCTAAACATTTCGTCTTATTTATGGATGGAAAAAACATACCTCCACAAAGAATTGGCAAAAGTATTTGTGTCCATGAAAATTTTTGAAATTTATATTTCATTATGTCATCAAAAATATCTATGATTTGATCCTTGAGCGTGATACAAAGTAGATGAATTTATCAATTTGGAGGAGAGTTAGTTGGATCAACGAACAAAACTGAAGAAAGGTTTAAACAATCACATGTTGACACATTACTAAAAGAAAATGCCAATCATGTTTCAGCTTTAACTAAGGAGAAGTGTTTCAAGATAACCAAATACTAGACTTTAGAGAATGAATTTTCAAGTCTTCAATGTGACATTTACGTATTTAAATGAATCAAACTCACGTTTATGAATTTAGCAGAGATAATGTGATTATCATTTGTTTATATGATAAGCACAGCTCTTGACATGGTAACTCTATAAACCAAGGAAATCAATGATGCCAAAATAATTTTTTATCTTATCTCAAAAATAGATTGTATAACATACACCCACTTTTGAGAAAAGCTATGCAAATAGAACCTAAATGTATAAAAAAAATTTGAAGCTCATTAGACCCCTAACCAACATCCCAGCGCAGTTTAACAATGCACGCACGAAGAATATTGCTATATATACACATGTTTAATAATCATCGGCATGGGGACTCAACCTCAATGGATATAAAAAGGAACTCAAATGCATAACAATATCAATTCACAACCTCCGATATCTTAACTTACATATTATGTTACAAAATTGTATGTGGACCAGTAGTGACTTTTGGAAAGAGTAAATGATTCATCCAAGCAATCTCAACAAGTATCTTCACTCTTCTACATGAAGAAATAATTCAATTCCTATTGCTGAAAACTTTTATATATGATTCCAAATAGTAGGTTTCACTCTCATTTCAATCATACTTGAGCTCAACCCAAATGCGTATCGTTACATTTTCACAATTCATGTCATTTCCTACTTGGAGTCACTTTTTAGCCTCCGATTCTTCCAAATACATATGATAAGTTAAAGATAACAACTACAATGGTAGGTACTGTATGTATAATATCACATATTGATTTAATATGTCCCTTTGGAGATTGACCTTATCTAAATACATTGCAGATAGGTTGAATGAAATCTAGAGGCTTTGAGAGGCACAACTGGACGGCAGGAAATAAAAGCTAAGGGGTAGCTCAAAGAACCAAGTCGATCCAAGATGAGACTCCAAAATGCTAAACTATGTAGAAAATGAGCTCCAAAGTCAAGTCACAATTGCATAATGATAAAATAAAAATGTGGGAACAATTTAGTTCGTCGATGCTGACCACACGGGGCCTCACGCCACGTACAAGGTGCTGAGAAACGTGCGTTCTCGAACGGAAAGGGTGCCCGGCCTTGCTGTTGTCCACTGTACAAGAGAATTTCGTAACAACTATGCTGACGACCGACCTTTCCTCATGCCGTCGTGGCCAGCTGGGACCTTGGCAATCGAGAAATGAACGACTCGGATGAACCGACATGGATTCCGTCTGGCAAAAGTCTATCACCCCGATCGAGCTCGTCCGCCATTCACGACGCTCTGCTGATCATGATGCCCAAATCCTCTATTTGCCCACTTCTCCCCGACGCCGTCATATTCACCGACAGGGTAGAGCGGACCGGCTCGGCTGACATGTCTGTCACCTGGCTGAAGATTCAGCGACTTCCCTCCCCTAACCAACCACGGTTATCTAACCCGAGAAGGCAGATCTTCGAAGAGCATTAGCTATGGGTTCTTTTGGTTTTCTCCTAGTTGGATTGTTTGTATTGTATTTTTTAGCGTTTTGACCCTTTTACCCTAAACCCTTTGGGATTGATCTATTCACCATTTACCTCAACCAACCAACCCAACCTCCCCAAGCCTGCGAAGGTCCCGCGCAGTTGCAGAGGGGGAAGAAGACACGGAGAAAGAACAACCAGCAGGGAGGACCTATAACGGAACGGGTAACATGGGGCTAGGCCCCCGTTGCATTCGCCTTGATAAATATAGACGGACCCTGCCCAAAATGCAATCCGACGGGAAAAGTGTGGCCTACTCCATAAACCCGATGGATTCTATGGGAGGGAGGCACCGATGACACCGATGAGATTTCCTATTCAATGTGCTAAAACAGGGCGATAAAATTATTCCAGTCATTACGTGAAACCAAATCTGAACCCTTCGGTGGATATGTGCAGGGAAACTTCCTATGCAAATAATTTGAAAGTGTATTTCATACATTACAAGAATTATTTGATATAATCCACGCAAAGTATGCCGGTGAACATGAATTTTTTTTGTATGTTCACACTCAAGCAACCCGACTGCTGAAAGAAGTGATTC